CTAACATCTTCTGTTCATGTTGTACGACGGGTCCTCTTCCACGAGGGACAGAATATAAGCAATATACTGGGAAAGCTTTACTTGGGAAAACCACTGATGAAGTGCTTTCTTCTTGGTCCCAGTGGGCAGGTTATTTTTAATGCCTCTTAGCCTACCATATGTTGTGAATATGGATAATGAATAAGAAACATTTTCCAAGAAAACGCTTCTTTACTCCTCGATTTCATTTTTGTCTTCTCCCCTAATGTCTGCTTTTTTCCTCACAGGTTTCGCCAGCAGAGGAAGTGTTTCTGTTTAGGAGGGGTCTGAGGTTCTCCTGAGTAATGATTTCTCTGGAATTACTTTAAAGGAGAACTATGGGGTCAGTGTTTTTCCCCCACAGTTCTCCTAAGGGTCATGGGAGGACATATACTGGCGTCCTCTCGTGACCCAAAGCTCAGTATATAGCGAGCTACAACTCGCAGTATACTGAGACCGCCGCAGCCAGGACGGATCCCGACATTACTGTCGAGATCCACCCAGCTACGTGAGTGAGAGTTGGCTTTGCCTACCTAGAGGCAAAGCCAGCTGTACCCGCCCCCAACCCCGTCCGTTCCGCCAGTCATCGCTGGAGGATCGGAGAGGGGGGGGGGGGATCCCTGAAGGGAGCCGGGAGTGACAGTCACAGCTCTCGGCATTGACAGGATCGAGAAGTGAGCGAGCGACGGTATGTGTTCGCTCACTTCCCGATCTATTGAGCCGACCTGTGACAGTTTCATTGTCTCACGTCAGCTCGAACTATGAGGTTGAGTGAAAATCACTCACCTCATAGTTCTCTTTTAATCATGCACAAGACTCCCCCAAGTTTCCTTAATGCATGATGAATAATATTGGGAAAAGCTTCAGGGCCCGTTCACACTATCAAGTTGTTGCAATGCATGGGTACTAACATGTGTTTTGCTGTGCATTATGGCAACTGGTTACATTGTGGCACTGCAACGGACTTAGGCAGCACAGCGCAATGTACCTACATTGTAGCGCCCTGCAAAGCACAGATCTAAGATGTTTCTCTTTCAAGCTCAAAATTTCAGTCCCTTTTTTTCCTTTTTCTAATTACCTAATTCTCCCCAAGGTCCTCTTCAGACCTATTCATTCCAATAATATATGGTAAAACATGTTTTACTCCAAACATGTTAATGCTATGCACTATACGGGGCCTGTTATGGTGCCATTCATTTAGAAAGGTTCCTCGAACCATAGCAGTGCAGTAGGTGGGGAAGGACTCATGCTGCAGCGTACAACAGCACACATGGCATGCATTGTGATTTGTTGCATTAAAAACTGCTGCAGATCCAGTTTTTTGCCTATTGCCTAATAAATGTGCTTTAAAAAGTTTTTTTTCCTATTTGGATTTTGCATATTTTTAATAATTTTCTTTTCTTTTTTTATAAATTTATTATTTATAAAGACCCCTGGAGGGTACATACAGCAAGTACGACAAAAGTCAAAGTGAGAAAAAAAAAACCATGCTACTACAGCTGTATATGTGGCATTACATCAATTTAATGCCAACCTTTAAAGTACACCTTTAAACACACCAAGAATCCTCAATTTTCATATGATTTGTGAACAAGGGAGTAATGGCGAAGTGAGGTAGGGGGGAAAGTTGAGGTGGGTAGTCCCCTACCGGGGGGGGGGAGGGCTCTAGTCTCACCTGAGTGGAGGCAGACTTGAAAGGAGGAGGGATAAAGAAAAGGAATAAAAGTTGGCTATCTTAATGCAAAGCACATTAAAGTGCAAAATATGACACGGCAACTGACCTCAAAGGCCTGAAGGTGCCCTAAAGTCTATACTACAGCTATGACTGTGACATTTGTTTACAAGCATCCATGCTGAAAAACTGCATTGTATATTTGTGCTGCATGGCTTATTTTTAAACACTACTATAAAGGAAATAATGCTGTGATTGTTTTTCTTTTTTTATTTACTCTAGAAACACCGTGGTGTTTTGTTGAAACTGGAAAACACATAATTCTTTTTTTAAACATACGTTAGTGTGTGAAAGTGAGTAGTGTTCCTTTTTTTGTTGGTGTTTGAATTCATGAAAAACTTGTCTTTGGCACTTTGGGTTTATTTGTTTTTGTGTATTTAGCATAACAGGAAGATTGATCCGGGTTGGGGCAAGCGTATGTCTTTTTCCTGAATCACTTGGCACTAAAAGGTGTCCCTATTTTCCATCTAAGAAAGTTGGTACTACTTTATAGCGTAGAGCAGGGGTCGCCAAACCTTTCAGTGTGAAGGCCACATTGTATTTTTTGCAAACATCTACATCCAGGATGACCATGAGAGTCCCAACATGCATCTAGGAGTGCCCATCAGAGTCCCTCCTAACATTCAAGATTGACCATCAGAGTCCCCTTTTAAACCACGATGACCATAAGAGTGTCTCCTTACATCCAGGAGTGGCCAGCACTCCTAACATCTAGGATTGACCATCAGAGTCCCCCTTACATCCAGTAATGCCTATCAGAGTCCTCCCTAACATTCAGGATTGACCATTAGAGTCCCCCCTTACATTCAAGTGTGCCCATCAGAGTTCCTCCTTACATCTATGATTGACCTTCAGAATCCTCCCTTACATCCAGGAGTGTCTAGCAAAGTCCCCCCATTACCTTTCAGATGGCAGGGCAGCAGGGCAGAAGTCAGGAGGTGGAGCAGGTCAAAATAGAGGAAGTCTGGTCCTCCTGTAAATGCTGTGGGTGGGGAAATCCCTACATTGGCTGGACTCTCCACTCACATCCAACCATCGTGGAGGGAGTGGGAAATCTGCGCTGGAGACCAAGGCTGGTTGGCAGAGGAAGTGCTGGTCTTGTTAGGGAAGGAGCAAAGTCCCCCAGTTTGCTGGATTGGACCCCAATAGCAGGGAACAATACCAGAAGGAGAGTCCAGGCTGAGGTACAAGATAGGATGATCCAAAATGCGTTGTCAGAGTACAGTCCGGGTCGAGGCAGGCAGTGAGTATCATAAACGGTGAGGCATGCCAGGGGTCGTTAACCGGGAAATCCAAATAGCAGGGAAGGGAGACAGGAAACAGGAAATGAGGCATTGTAGCTGCTTTGGGAATTGCAGAATAACTCAGCAACAAGTCTTGGCTCTGGCTGGAATTTAAACCCAGCAGGGGCCAGCGACACCCTCGTTGTCCGGGCAACGAGGAAGCCACAGGTCCCTGGGAACCAATGGGACGGCTAGGAGAGAAGGAGTGTTCGCAAGGCCCTCCCTGGCAATGATCAGCACCCAAGTGACTAAGAAGCCGCGGCAGCGCCACATGCGCACAACATGCATGCACGTCATGCATGCGCTCATGCGTGCACCCGCAACCTGCCGCCACTGGGCACCAAATCACCCCAAGAAGGACCCTACAATCTCTGCCGTACCAGACGGACCCCAGCTAAGAGGGCACCCCTGGTCCCACGACAGGTCTTCTTATTATGAGCCACGGATTGGCACATGTACGTCTAGCCAGCTGGGGTTGCTGTGGGCTCAATAAATTCCTGTAGCAGGCCAGATGTGGCCCACGGCCATAAATTGGAGACCCCTGGCATAGAGCAACAGCCGTTGTTCCTGCCAGTTGCACCAATAAACCCTAAAATGATGATGAACAACCTCAGCAATTTGTCCTCTACTGACTGTTCAGCTGCCAGGCAGAGTTCAGCTCGAGTGCTGAAACACATTGAAGCTTATTCAAGGAAAGAACAATATACAATATACAACAGAGAACCACCAGTCAGAACTAATCTTCCCGACTGTTTCTTTGTATAAGTCTCTTGGCATGATTTTTGGTAGTTCAAGATTTCGTATGTATTTCATAATGTGTAAAATATGCCAGGAGTTTTGTTGACTGTTCACATATGAAAATATTTGTGTTCCCTTCCCTAAAATACAGAATAAATCATTTATCTTCTCCTGTAGGAGTCCTTCCGCAGTGCTGAACAGATCAGCTTTTGTTATAGCCGCACGTATGCAACTTGTCAGACACCAGAAACACAAAGGGTGATATGGAAGTCACAGAAACCCGAGTCAGAACACCTGTCAGGAATGTACTGCTATCTGGTGCTCCACTTTTTTCACTTCCTGTCCTGTTGACAACAGTTTCATCAGACAGGAAGCGAGCGCAAATCTGGAGCAACAAAACAGAGAGAAATACATACATTTTCAGTAGAGTAGGCGAAAGATAGAACAGCTGTCAGATTTTTATTTATTTCTATGGGTTGGTCCAGTTGCAGATTTTCCTTCACTTCCTGTGTGCTGAGATAGATGTTACCAGGACAGGAAGTGAGGGGAAATCTGTCCACAGCCATTTTTAATGCAAATCTGCCCCTTTCCTTTACTGTCTTTGTCTACTTTCTATCAGCATTACCACACGGGTTTCTGTTGGAGACTACAAGCACCATGCAGCCATCGCTTTCAAAAAGTGATTGAAAAGAGGTTTCAGGAGATACTCAGCACTGAGATGCAACAAAAGATTAAAAAAAACACATTTTAAGGCAGGTCTTTAATTAAAAAAATTATAATTGTTTGATACACAATCCCTTAGAAAACGAAATGCCATAACATAGTATTTACATTTAAGCCTCAATTAAAGCCCAACTTAGGGCTCTGAGCATCCCCATTCACCTGGGTTGGTCCAATATGCCTCCCGGGATGTCCTTAGTTTTCAGAGCTGAATGAGCATTATTCAACCCAGAAGACTGAGGACATTTAGTGGTGGAAATAATTTACTGTGAGGGACAAGACCAGAAAGAAGGTGAGTATTGCAGCAAGAGCTGATGCTTTGTTTTAACCCTTTGCTGGGAGATTGTTACCTGTACCCTGAAACTACCCACAGCTGGGCTTTAAAGCCATAATGATAATTTATGATACTTCTTATATTAAATAGTGTAACAAAATAAGTGTTTTTGAAAATTAGTCGTATTCGTTCACAATAAAACATTCTGCTTTAGCATTCATTCTTACATACTTACAGTCAGAGGCAGCGAGCAGACTGCAAATATAACAGTCATGACTGCTAGCAGAATGAGATGGTCCATCTCCTTCATCCGAGCTTGGCTCCCATCCATCCCTTTGTTGCCGACAATGGCACCAGCAACGGTCCTCTTGTTCTTTTTTTGGTACATTATATAGAGACATCTCATGATGGCCATATTGAATACAATGATGCCTATTACTACTAGTCCCATAATTGTACCATAGAGAATGGAGTACATGCGATCCATAGGAGCCGAGTCCCTCATGGTCATTTCGATAAAACACCAGGTGCCAGGACAATACTGCACAAACCTCCCAATGCCAAAAAAAGGCAACGAACAAAAGCCCAGGCTAAAGACACAGAACACAAAAGGGACCAGGAGCCCAACTTTGTTGGTGATGTATCTCTGATAAGTGAACGGATAGGCTAGGGCAAGCCAACAGTCGACAGCCATGGCCAAGAGGATGAGGGTGGGTGCCAGGCCAAATAAAGTCATGCAGAAGGCAAAAAACTGGCACAGGCTTTGATTGTCCGTCAACTGGAATAAAGTTTCATTTTTAGAATAGGCAGCTATTACAACTGGGCACACAATGATCTTCCCCGTGAGATTGACGATGGTGAGTCCTGTTACCAGTATGTAGAAAACAGAACTCTTTGTGGTCTTCACATTTAGCTTGTGTTGCCAGAGAATGATGAGGGCAATGATGTTACCTAGAAGGCCGGCAGCAAACAGCACAGAGGAGGGCAATACAGAGTGGTCACCTTGGAGGTGTCTTCTTGAGGAACACGGATAGAGCTCCATCTGATGGCTGAGAACAAACTTGCTAGACGCAGGCTGAGTGCTGACAACAAGTGTTCGTGTCTCTGATTCTGCAGGCAAAGTTTCTGTGTGCTTTCTCACAGAATGTCCAGGGGTGGAGAGATGAGCAATTATGTGAAGTGATCATTTTAATAATGCATGCTTCGGTGGGAAATGGGCCAGCAATGTAGTTTGCATTCGGAAGGAAACAAATGTGCTGTTTATAAATAACGGACTGTGACCTGCCAAAAAGAAAGCGGGGGAAAAAAATAGTTATTGCAACATCAGAAAACTTTATCCAGACGTCACTTAGCTGTTGGACCTTTCTCCACTTCCCTGTGTAACGTGTCACAACTATGCAGCTGAACTCCAATACAGACTTAGTTGTTTGAATGACAACTATCAATAAAATGGATTTGCACTAACATGGAATCTTGGTGCTGGCGTGCTGGTGACATCTGCATTAGAGTTCTGTTGTAAGTGGTGCCATCCGCAGTCATTAGCACCCGTTACTTTTACTCCGGTAAGGAGTGCGGCAAGGTACATGGATACATTCATGCAGCTGTCTCAGTCTTGTTTAAAATGATTATACTTGTCTTTTTAATGTGTTTGTAACCCCCCACCCAGCACCCAGAAAAAAAGCTTGGTAGCATACCCTCCATTGTTTTTTTATCACTATATGGTCTTTTTATTTCAAGCTGTACCTGTTGATCCTGACAGTTAAAGGGATTCCCTTGCAACAGGTGACAACACTTATTTATAGAGTCGTTGCCTCTGCAGGAGCACTCTAATACTGTTTCTCAACTTTTTTTTAGCCACGACACCCTTTAAAAGTATGACAAATCTCAAAATGTCTGAAATGTAATGGATTTTAAGGGGGCACCACATGCAAAAACACATAAAAGCGGTTCCCCCTTCACATTGAAGTACCCCCTTCAATTGAGGACTACCCCTTTTAGATCTGAGCCACCCTTTACATCAGTATTACCCCTTCACATCAAAAACACCCTCGTTCACATCAGGAGCTACTCTTAAAATCCGAGCCCCCCTTTCACATCAGAGTTCCCCTTTTACAAAAGGAGCCCCCTTCACATCATAGCATTCAGTTGACGTCCCCCCCTTCATATCAGAGTCCTTCATTTACAAAATTTCAAGGCACCCCTGAGGTAGCAAGAAGGCACCCTTGCTGAGAAAGGCTGCACTAAGATGCACAGAATCCTGGTTGGCTCTACACTGGAGCTTGTGTGAGGTCAGCCTACTGCGTAGCTTCCAGTTTCTCTACCGCACACCACTATGATGTGCATTCTCATAGCAGAAGGTGGACCAAAGAGCTGGTTCATTTATTTGTTGCACATTCTGTCAATATAGTGCAGTTATTCTTGTTTAGGGTTTAATATTACTTTAAAGGGAATTATTTAATATGTAATATTTTATTATGTTGAGTGTCAAAAAACAAAAATATAACTTATTTTTTTCAGGTACATTCTTTGAGATGAATATTGTTAATTTTTTATTATTATAGATGAGCTGAATGTACTGGGGACCTGAATGTAGCTGATGAGCCAATCAGTTGTGCTATGTGCAATGCAGCGCTCATGTGCTAATAAAGAGCATTGTCAGGGACCAGAACACCTCCAGGTGGCGCTGGAGCAGACCCTGCATTTCCAGTGCCCACCTGCAGGTGTCTCCAGGCAGCCAGTGGCGGTCAGGGACCTGAGCGCCTCCAGGTGGCACTGTGACTCTGGAACCAGGTCCTACACTTCCAGGGCTCACCTGCAGGTGTCAGCAATTAAGCACCACCTGCTGATGATCTGGGAGGGTATTTAATCCCTCCCTGCAGTGAGCCTGGGGCCACAGTATTGTTGCCCTAACCTGAGTCCTGAGTCCTGAGTCCTGAGTCCTGAGTCCTGAGCCCTGAGTCCTGAGCCCTGAGTCCTGAGCCCTGAGTCCTGAGCCCTGTCACCATTTCCTGTATTCTGTGACCTGACTCCTGTATCCTGGTGCACCCTTGTACCCTGACCTTTGCCCTGTGGATCCCCTTGTGTTGCCTTGCTCCCCAGATTTCACTTGCCCTGTTGTCTGTATTTGTATTTGCATTCAGTTAGCTATTATTACTTGTTTGTGGTTACTTGTGGGTGTTGGTGGGGTTGTTTGTGTTTATATGATTTTGGTGTGTCTAATAAACTGTATATAAGGGCATTGGCATTGTCTGGTGTGGTCACGCATTTGGTCCTCCGGTGTGGGTGTTATGGAAATTCACTTGGTTCAACGCACAAATCCATGTCGCATTAAGCTGCGCCAAACGCAAAGAATTTCCCCCGTTGTACTACGCTATTTTATGCAAGGACTGGAAGTATCTCCCTTCAGAGTCATGTAGAGTCAGGAGACAGATGTTGCTTGTTCGTTAATCCCATGCTAAGAGACCTGAGCGCAGGTATGTTTATTGTTTATACCTGCCCAACAGGAAGTGATGTCAGACAGGAAGGGTTGTCTCAAACAGCGAGACAGGAAGTGATGGCAAACCAACAGATGATTTCAACAACCAGCAAACCAGGAAGTGGGACAGACAGGAAGTGAACAGGAGTCAGCTAACAAATCACATGTAGTAACAATCAATGACCACCGGAGTGACTTTATCCAGCGTTGCTCAGTGATCAATGCCACATAACGTTACTAGGATTCTCATGCGCGCTCATTCACAGGGATAACGTTATATCATCTCAAGCGTGTTGATCAGGCACACCAGAGAGAACAAACGCACGTTCCTTTCATATACTGCGTTCAAGACAAATGTATCCACGCAAGCCAATAAATCCATGCATTGCACGGGGGGCCCCAGCCGGCGTCCATACATTCGCCAAGAAGACACTGCTCCGCTGCGCATAAGAAATCTCCTCCAATGGATTAATCCCCCAGTGTCTATTTAAACCGAGACACTGAGAGACTAATGACAAAACATTACAATACACTAAAAACACATCCTAATAAAATTTCCACAACAGTGGGTACCTGCATGTGGTGTGAGGACACCCGCGCACATTACCCTGACAAGCGTGCTGGCAGGAGGAGAGAGTAGCTCCTCAGTCTGCTGCTTCAGTCACAGGCTGGGTGGGAGGGAGCAAGAGCTAATTATATTACCTAATTGCAGTAAATAGAAGTCAGCTTTCCAAGGACTGTTTAAGGGCTGTATAAATCTCAGGAATAAATGAACAGGGATGAAAGTTCTTTGGCAAGTAAAACAACTCCTATACATGTATTTTGTCTGTGTATTTAGCTGTTTGTCTGTAGTTCAGCTGTAAGGTCTCTCACAGTCCATTTACTATACGTAATAAGGGATTTAGTTAAATATTGAGCAATACATGAATTTACTGCAAGCACGTCATTAGATGGCAGTACTCAATGGAAAACGTGAAGTGAAATCTGCCTGAAGGTATAAATGTACTTAGAAAAAAAATTGAAATATGCCCCAGGGCACACGTGGGCTATCTTTCAAACACTGAAAACTAACTGTATCTCCCTGGAATAGCCCCTGTGTTCTGCCCAGCCTGCCCACAGTGCTTAGAGTCTTCCATTCTTCTGCGGCTATAATAAATCAATACTTTGTGCGTCTGATGGACAGGCCTTGCTTAAACTGGCTCATAGAGAATAATAGGAACAATGGAGCAAACACGCCCGCGCTTCTGCATCATTAAGGTGCAGCCCTGAGCTTTTCACAGCCGATGTATTAAAGGAGAACTATGAGATGAGTGATTTCTAGACATGTGCACTGCCAAAAAATTTGTTTAGTTTAGTTTCGTTTTAAATTCGGATTTGTGTTATTTCGTTTTTTAGGATTCAGGTGTGAAAGTCAATTCGGATTCAGAATTCGGATTCGGACGAAGTTCTCCTTTAAACATTGCGCACATACTGTGAGATAGGGTTATTCTGGGGAAAGCTAGGTAATAAGGTAACCTTTGCAAGGCAACCCACGTCTGCCTATGACATATCTAAGGTTATCCTCTAAATCATTGGATCATTACAATTGTCATACTTTTAAAGGGAAAGTACTGTAAACTACTAGGTACACATTGCTCTGGATAAAAGAAGGCACGGCAGTCAGCGCTGGATCAGAGACCGGCACCACCGCTGGAGGGACTGCCGAAAACTACAGGAAAAAAGATGATGATCGGATCAAGAGGCGTCATTTAAGGTAAGTGCATACACCTGCATTGGGGAGGAGAATTTTTTCTTACTTTAATGTCACTTTAATCCTGTTGCCACTTCAAGTGACACTAAACTCAGGAGTAAAAACTAAAAAATACATTCAAATACCTTATCTATTCACAAAAATGTATCTTATTTGTGTATCACTCGGCTGCAGATCCTCAAATCATCTCTGAATTGTTGCTGACACTGTCCATCCTTCTGGAGGGTGAATACTTTTGTTCCCCATGGTCCCTGTGTGTGTTGTAAAGTAGTCACCGGCCCAAGCTCGCTCCTGTGATGGACTATAATCTCTTGTTTAACCTCTTCCCGACTAATGATGGGATTATCCTGTCACTATCAATCAGATTATTATCCACCGGTAACGGGAACATTCCGTCATGCGGTACTATGAGCGCTGGTCCGTGAAGGGACCAGCAGCTCATTGAGTTACTGCTGTTGATGGGTCCCTCGGACACTCAACAGCAGATTAAATGGTCACAGTTCTGTGATCACAGCGAGAGCTGATCTATGTGATCGCAGAGCTGTGACCGTTGCATAGCCGGCAGATGTCAGCTGTGTTTTGTAAACAGCTAGCCGATGTGCTACAAAGTATCTCTAAGCAGATAACTGTATTCCACTTGAAGAAATAACCCCTTAGTGCCCCCTAGTGTAAAACAATCTAATCAAATTTTAAAATAAACAACGTTTTAAAATTATTTACAAGTTAAAAATAAGAAAAAAGTTGTAAAAAGTCAAAAAAAGTTAAAAAAAAAATAGGTTTAATAAAAACATTATAAGAAAATATAGTGTCAAGGAGGCTATTAAAAAAAGGAGACAAACAACACATTCTAAAATTGTTCCACATTAAAATTGTATATTTTCAGAATCGGTTAGTTGGCTGATTAT